CTCTTGTTTTTTTTCACTCAAGGCTAGTGCTTGAGCCACTTGAGCCACAGCTCCACTTGTGGCTTTTTGATGGTTAACTAGAGAAAAGAGTCTCAAAGACTCTGTGCTGGCTTTGAACTGAGCTCCTCAAATCTCAGTCTCCTGAGAGTATAATGCTCCCAGGATTATAGGTGTGAACCACCAGCACCCAGAACCTGTAGCTTTAAATAGAGGAAGAATTGGGATGAGGATGAGAAGTAAATATAATTATAAACAATCTCTACCACAGATGTGGTTTGATTGTCAGGGTGTTAGCTCAAGATTCATCATGGGGGACTAGTCAGGATAAGAAAGTCCCTGCTGTTTGTGGCACAATGATGGAGGACTCTTGTCATAGTTGTTATCTGTCAGGCCTGTTCTTCTCGAATTCCAAGGTAGCTATAGAGTTGACTTCAGAGAAAACTGCTCAGAGCAAAGATAGATCTCCAAAGCCAGGGGCTGCTGGCTCAGGCCTGTAATCCTGCCTACGCAAGAGGTTGAGATCTGAGCTGAGAGACTCTTATCTTCAGTTGACCACCAAAAAGAAGCTGAAAGTAGAGCTGTGGCTTGAAAGGATCCTTCACATCCATCCCAGGGGACCACCTGGAGGCAAGCAAGCACAGAAGAAAGATTATTACATATTTATATAATATATTATTATTATATTATATATTTATTAGAGGGGCCATATTTCCCCAAAGAGGGAGCACATGGCATCCATCCCTATTCAAGTAGCAGGAGGGTCTGGGGTCAGGAAGTAAGGTAGGTGCATGCTCAGATGGGTCTGGGTGGAGAGAGGGAGTGGCCAGCTTTATGGGAACTCAGGGCTGGATGGAGCTGAGGACCAAAGGTGGGCATAATGCTAACAGGGCTCAATTAGTAGAGGGCTAGGTTTGAGCAAAAAAGCTCAGGAACAGTGCCTAGGCACTGAGTTAAATTCCCAGAACACACACACACACACACACACACACACACACACACACACACACACACACACACACACACACACACACACACACACATCCTACACCAAATTAAAAAAAAAAGGAGACACCAGTGGTGGCAGGAACGCCACGCTTTCAGTTCCTTTTGGGCTCTTGCAAGTCTCTGTGAGGAATCTGCATTTCAGCAAGATCAACTTTTCTAAGTCTCTTCTACAGAATGGGAACTTACATTTCAACAAGATCTTTACACAGTTCAATAGCAAGTTGAGTCTGTTAAGCTCTGAAGTGTGTGTGTGTGTGTGTGTGTGTGCCTGCGTGCACGCACATGCTGTTATTTGGTCTTGATCTTTGGTACTCAGTGCTGTCTCTTAATTATTTTGCTCAAAGTGTCACTTTACCACTTCTGATTCTCTGGTGGTTAATTGAAGATACCAGTCTCACCGACTTTCCTGCCTGAACTTGCATTGAACCATGATCCTCAGATCTCAGCTTCCTGAGTAGCTAAGAGTACAGGTGTGAGCCATCAGCGATCCGCTCATTTATCATTAATTCTGATAGGTGGCAAACTTCTTTCTGGAATCTATAATCACCCACAGATGTAAACAAATGCATTGTGTAATCTGCTGTAGATTTAATCCCAGGCTGGAAGTTTTGTTCTGAACACTTCTGTGTTTCTTAGCACCTATCAATAAGGTGCTAGTGGTTGCTTGGGGCACAGGATGAGAGAATAGCACTGGAGGGTACTATCTAGAATAGAATAGATAACAATTATATTCAAATAAATAGGATAGATAGGTAACAGGGGTAATGCCCTTGATTCTTGTCCTCACATAACTTCGTTGAGTGTAGGCATTCTGAGTTCCAGCTGTCCATTCATGATGTTTGGCTCATGCTCTCCACCTAAGCAGGGAACTCTTTGGGACAAGAGACCACGACTTGCCCATTTTTCTGGTCTGCAAAACAATAGTTCTTTATAATGCAAATAAGACCCCAAGTTCAAACGCACCTACACTATCAATTTTCATAAACTCCCTTATAATGTGGAGACTTCTGGAATGTTCTTGACCAGGCAGTGGAGGTTGAGGAATGGTCCTTTGACAAATGTCTTTCCTTCTCTTCTCTTTTTGTGGGTGAGGGAGCAGTGTTGGAATTTGAGCTCAGGGCCTCACCTTGGTAAGCAGGTACCACTAGAGCTACACTCTCAGCTCTTTTTCCTTTTGAAATGAGGTCTCAGTATGTTGCCCTGGTTGACCTTGAACCCATGATCTTCCTTTTTCAGCCTCTCCAGGGCTGGGATTATGGCATACATTATCAGTTATGTGTGAGTTCCAGAACTCTAATTCCCCCCCCCCCCCAAATGAAACTTCAGTCATACCTAGGGCTAAAAACCTGGCAGAAAAATTGGCAGAAGAGTCTATATCATGACTCAGTTCCAGCGGAGACCACTTAAATCACTTCCAGTAGCAAATGAGTGGCACTCATCTCCTCCTCCCATCCCCAGGCCTGCGGGCAAGGTCTTCAGACTGGAGTCTATTGTCTCCATAAAGAAAAATCTTTCCTTCTGGGAGGACTCGGTCCACCTGACTCATGAAGGAAATTTATTGTGCGGGATGAGGCAGGCAGGAGGAATTAAGGAACTAAATTGGAGGAAGTTGCTGATATGACTTTTTATTTCCCTCTTCTGTCACTTCTCTCTTTCCCAAGACTGTCAAATTTATACCTGTCTGGACAGGACTTTAGCTTCTAGAACATCAAAGTATATATATGATGGGACATAGTCTACTGAGCTGTTAAAAACTTTTATTATTGGTAGTGGGACTTGAGCTCAGGGTCTTGTGATCATTCAGTTTGTTTGGCTGGTGCTCTACCACTGGAGCCATGCTTCTAGTCTGGCTTTTTGTTGGTTGATTGGAGATGAGAGTCTTTGGGGCTGGCCTTGAACCTCCATCCTCAGATCTCAGCTTCCTCAGTAGCTAGGATCACAGGTGTGATCCTACCGGCACCTGTCCTTCTAAGACTTTTTTGTTCTTTGCTTAGAAATTTGAAGACGTTTCTACAGCTCTTTCATTCTAAAGTGCATCCAGTTCTAAGCTCCAGCAACCCAATCAACTGGCATGATGGATGGATAGAAGTGGAAAGAAGGAATAGAATTCCCAAATGAGGAAGCCAAATTCCCAACCTTTGATCTCTTACTGTTTTCACTTAGCTGAGAGGTCTCAGCATTCATTTGAGCCCTGAATACCTATATTCAGTTGCTCTAGAAGGAACAATAGTCTGAGGCATTTTGACAACCCATGTTAAGAGAGACCATAATTCCAGGATCCAGGACTGGGGCTATGGTTTAGCCCCTGGAATGGTTGAGCTGAGACCAGTCTGCAGCAACACTCTTTATATACGAAAGACCCACTAAGTGGTGACTCCTTTTGGTCTGAGAGGGAGGTAGGCATCATATCTATTTGACTTTATCATTTGTGAATCAAGAAAAGTGTAATATAGGGTGATAGCAACGTTTTCTTATCACGAGCTAATTTTATACACCATTCCGAATTCTATAAAATAAATGGATACCACAATGTCTCACTCCTTGTGTTTTTCCGAGGCAAGAGTTGCTGTTAGGATGGAAACAATTACAGAGCATCTAAACCGGACTTTCACAAGATACTGATTTCTTATGAAATCTGCTTCTGTAAATCAGTCAGCACAATCAGTAGACTGAGCTCCTAAAGATCCTTCAAATCTTTACTAACAGTAACAGGTAGATTCAGAGAATCAGTAGTAACTGCATGGCATCAAGCAGATATTAAATAAGCTCATCACCTGCCTCTCCTGCCAAGTAGGCTCAAACAGGCTCTTAGTAGGTCTCTTTCACTGTAAAATACAGGATGTTGTGCAACAGCTTCTATTTTCCTTTATCACTACATGCCCGTCACTCTGCTATGTGTTTTACATGGGCTGTTTTGTGTGGTGTTCACATACAGCTCAGTAGGTAAATGAGAAAAACAAGTCTAGTATCTATTAACAGACTAGCATCTGTTAACAGAGGTTGGCACAGTGCCACTTCTGAACCCTTGCGAGATCTTTCCTAGCCCTATAAACACAAACTAAGCTTCTTCTGCCTGTCCAGAAGAATTTCCTAAAGTGAAAAGAGGGTGCTCACATAGTCTAAGATGAAAGAAGATAATAATGGACTCCCAGCCACAGGTCAAACAGCTTCACTGCAGCTCCAAGCACTTTACACTACCAACAGCCTCCCTCCCACAGGGGCCCAGCTGCCTGCAAGGCTTTGTTGGGAGGCTAAGTGGCAGCCTGCTCCTCACAGCTCTCAGCCTCTGTGTCCATCCGAGTGAGCACTCAGGACAGAGTCCTAGGGCAGCCCAAAAGCAAGGATCATGATAACTGTTTGTAAAAATCTGTTTAATAAATATACATCTTAGAAGTACCAAAATAGTTACCAACAAAATACACTATCTACACAATTTACAGAGGGTAACACAAACCTTTGTAAGGTAGTAACTTTTGACCACATACTACCCAACACCACACTGGGTCAGCTACTAAATCTAGAGCGCTTCAATAAAAAGCAAAATAAATAAAATGTGGTCCTTTCGTCAGACTCTGGATAACCTTCACCTCCCCCATCCCACAAGTTTAGGAGGCGTTTCCCCCTCCCCCAGCCCCTGCAGTCGCTGGGCTTCAATTCAGGGCCTTTCGCTCTTGGCTCTTTTGCTCCAGGCTGGCCCTTTAACCAACAAAAACCACAAGTGGAGGTGTGGTGAAGGAGTCTCTTGAGTTTTCTGCCCGAGTTGGCTATGAACAGCCAGCAAAAGAGGCTTTCTCCAGGTTCCAATGATCTTTGTTGTTTTCCCACACAAAGTAATAAGACAACACACGCTGGTTCATTACAGTACAGTGCTGGGGTCAGGCAGGTGTGTAAGAATACCCTTTACATTTTTTGGGGGTTTTTTGTTTGTTTAGAAAAATAAAACTCTCTTTTTGTACAAATATACAAGTCCATGTTTTTTGTTTTTTGTTTTTTTGACATTTTCTGTTCATAACGTCAGACGCTGGCCTCCAAACACACAGTCATCGTAAGGCAGCTAAAAAACAAAAGGAATAAAAGAATCATTAAACTTCCAGAATTTCACCAACGATGTTTGGGTGATAGGAGAGCTGCTACTGGAAATAACTCAAGTATTCTTGGACTCCTTTTTTCTAGAACCCCAATGCAATAAAGCCCACAGGCTGCAGTTTTCCTATAATGTCCTCTATATTTAAAAAAAAAAATTGCTTAATTATACAGAGGGAGCTTTCGTTGCTGTATTTCCATATATGATTACAATGTACTCCAATCTATTTAATATCCTCCATCATTCCCTATTGCTGGGTGTGTGGCTCGGTAGAGCACATGGATAAGCACGTGTAAGGGGGTACCTGGGTTCAATCCCAAGGACCAAAAAAAAAAAAAAAAAGTAAGCCATTACAACCAAACCAGAAGACACACACTCTTGGGATGCTGGTTAAGCATGCTAAAATTTGAGAAACTCATTATGTTGCAATCCTTATGATAAAGAGTAGCTTTAGTTCTGGGGAATTGGGAGGGCAGAGGAGAATGGCCCATTTCTTGGCAGAATATTGAAGATGATCATGAAGACTCACCTCATCCTCTGTGAACTCTGACTCCGTGTCATAGCTCTCCTCATCCTCGCTCTCTGGTAGCATCTGGAGATTTTCCGGGGTCAGCTGACCCAGCTGCTGCTGTATCCGTATGCTTGGTCGGCCCCAAGTGAGTTGGTAAGGGGAATATCCTTGGTAAGTAACTCTATTGACATCAGCCCCACACTTGAGCAAGAGTGACACCAGATCCGGATTCTGCAGGTCTACTGCAAGGTGGAGGGCTGTCCGGCCATTACAGGGCTCCTGGAACCAAAAGCAATTGAGATGTTTATAGCAGCAGCTGGAGAGTTCTGCTTGCACCAAGAACCAGCCAAATGGTTCTCAGGAGGATTCACTCCATCTTGAGACATGAAGCACTCACCTGAGCATTCACATCAGCACCCAAGGACACCAGATGCTCCACAATGCCCAGGTAGCCATGGATAGATGCTAAGTGCAGACACGTGTGGCCTAGAAGAAGCAATGATTCAAAGTATAAGCACTTGTTTGCAAGCCTCACACCCACACCAGAAGCAAGAGCCTTACTCCTATCTTTTCTGGCACAAACAGTCATGTCTTCTGAAATTTTAGAATTCCATAACAGACTCCAACAGGCATCATTTAAACATATCTTCTCAACCTTTCACATGCTTGGGAGTTTTAGGTTTTGTCTGGACTCTTAAGTGAGTACATCTCTTTTTTCCCATCACCTGCCCTTAGATGATGCACACTGACTTACCATTGTAGTTTGTGGCCTGCAGGATGGAGTGAAGATGCTGTGTGGTGCAGGTCTGCGTGAGGACTCCCACACTGGCCAGGCAACCCTGCTCACAGGCAAGGTGGAGAGGAGTATTTCCTCGAAAGTCTCGCAGCTCAGGATCACAGCCAGCTCCCAGAAGCGCCTCAGCAATTTCTGGCTGGTTGGTGATCACAGCCAAGTGGAGTGGAGTCTACAAATGAAAGAGGTAACAGAAGGAATAAGCCATGGGAGGAAACCACAATCTGAGTCCCAGATGTCCCCTGGTTGTAGATGCTGACTCTCCCTGACAGGTGGAGGGAGAGGGGTTTGCAAATACTGGAAACCAGGTCATCAAGACCTCAGCAAACAGATGTGATTTCCTTCACGTTTTTTAGCAAGTTTGGCTCATTTGAATGTAAAAGGCCGGGGTAGGTAAAGACCCTGTGCCAGTTAATATAGAAAGTTTTTGTGGGCGATGGTGCTACATTCAGCTGCACCACTAAGGTCAGGGAGGGCCCAGCGTTAGGGAAGCGGGCGCACCTGCTGCAGATTGTTCTGGAAGTTGAGGAAAGCCAGGTCTCCCTTCACCTGGCGGATCACTTCCATGGTCAGTGACTTCTCTTCATGGATGATGGCCAAGTGCAGGAACCTGCGGGGAAGAGAGGGAAAACCCCCCCAAGGGCTGGTGAGTACGCCGCGTGGGGCCTGGGAGGCGCGGGGCCACGGGGGGGCGGGGGATTACGCAAGGCCGGGGTTTCTGGAGGCCAAGGCCTCGGTGTTTTCCGCGAGGTTATTATGAGCTGAGTGTTCCTGGCAGGTGCCCAGGGACTTTCCGGGCCCCACCCCCTGGGCGGCGGGCGCCGGCCTGGCCGCCCCGCCCTCCCGGAACGCCCTGCACTTCCCCTGCGGGCTGGGCCGCGCGGCGCCCGGGCGCCCCGCCCTCCAGAAACCCCCGCCCCGCCGGGTCCGGGCGTCCCCGCCCCTGGCCTGGGCGCGGGGAGGGGCGCGGAGGGGGGAGGGAGGATGGCGGAGAGGAAGTGAGGAGGGGAGGGGGAAGGGCGCGGGCCGCCGCCAGCAGCCTCGGCTCCAACCCCGTGCAGCCCTGCAGGGTCCTTCGCAGGCTCCCCGGCGGTGCACAGTCCCCGGGCCGGGGGCGGGGGGGCGCATGCCGTCCAGCCGGGCACCCTCCCTCCACCCACAGCACTCCCGATCCCCGCGATCTGCCCCCCTTCCCGGTCACTTACGAGTCACCGTCCTCAGTGAGCTGCTGCTTCCAGGGCTCGGCGCCCAGCGTGGCCTCCTGCGGCTCCAGGCGGATCTCGCGCAGCTCCTTCACCATCTGCTCGTAGTCCTCGTCCTTCATGGAGTCCAGGCCGCTGTCGTGGCGATCGTCCAGCAGCCGCTCCTTCTTCATCCCATCCCGGAGGCCCTCCGCGGCCCACTCCGGGGCGTGCTCGGCTGCGTGGAACATGGCGCGCAGCGGCAGTGTCCGTGCGCGGTGCGCGGGGCGCTCGCTCGGCGGTGGCGGTGGCGGCGGTGGCGGCGGCGGCGGCGCTGGCGGGCGGGACGGCGGCGGGGAGTCTGTGGGCTCGGCAGCGCCGCCGCGGCGCGCTATAAACGCTGGCAGGGGATTTCTCCGGGGCGGGGTCAGACGTGGGGAATTTCCAAGCCAGTCAGACCAGAAAAAGAACTGCCTGGGCTGAGAAGCCTAAACTCTGGGCCGGGGTTCATCGGAGAAACTCCCTGGGCTGAGCCACTTGGGGTCAAGGGCAGGGAACTTTTTGCTGAGCCCGGAGTGGCTGGAAAGTCCTCCCAGCCAGGCCCCTTCCCCGGGAGGGTACTTCCCTGCCGCCCGGCCCGCCTGCCAGCCGCTCGCTGTCCCTGGGGTTTCCCACCCCTTGGTTTGATTTGGAGTCCTCTGAAATCCTCAGGACCTCGACCCGCTGGGCCGTTCCACACTGGGGTTGGCCAACCTGCCTGGTCCTTTTCCGGGCTTCCCCCCCCCCCCCCCCCTTTGATCTTTGGAAAACTTCAGAGTGGAAATCATGGCTGCTTCTTCCAAAGACTTGCTAGGAAGGTCGCAGGTTTGGCCATGGGTCTGCCAGTACCAGGCTCTTTGCAGTGTAGGGACATCTGCCTGGCAATGCACCCCCCCTCCCCATCTCCTTTAGAGTTTGTGGAAAGCTTTGGCATTAAAAATCTTAGTGCTTCTGGCCATTGATGAACACGATCTAAGCAACTCCAGGGCAGAATGAGAGGGAAAGAGGGAACAGCTGGCACTAAGCAAAAGGAGAGAAATGTATCTATCACCCAAGGTGGAAGAAATAGTTGTATTGTCAAAGCTCATAGAATTCACAAACAGTATAGACCGTGATAATGACAGTTTGCCTCTTGAAGGTTAAAATGTGTTTGTGACTTTGAAGTATCACCAGCTCACAATACTGTGAAATTTATGTAATCACTTAATCTCAATAAAAAGTTATTTTTAAAAATCTCAGTGCTTGGGCTGGAAAGGTGGCTCAGTGGTAGAGCGCTTGTCTTGCATGCCTGAGGCCCTGGGTTCGATTCCTCAGCACCACATAAGCAAAAAAAAAAGCCAGAAGTGGCGCTGTGGCTCAAGTGGTAGAGCGCTAGCCTTGAGCTGAAGAGCTGAGGGACAGTGCTCAGGCCCAGAGTTCAGGCCCCACAACCGGACCCCCCCCAAAAAAATTTCAGTGCTTGGAAAACCCTCAAATCATATCCCAGGAATGAATAATCCTCTCCTCTCGACCCCAGGAGAGCCAATCTCTGCCTCTGTGTGGAGTAAGGTATTAAATAGGGACCTTGATCTCACCCCCACCCCCCTCCCCCAATGCAAAGCAAGGTGTTACTCTTTGTAGTAGAGGTTATAGATACCTTGAAGTAAGGAAGTAATCACAGTTTTGCTCTCTGTCTTACATTCTGAGTGCCTTACTCTACGCTTGGTCCAAAAACTATGTCTAGGATTGTCACTGCCAGGCATTCTGCAGGGCCAAGGCACTCCTACCATTGCCCTTGCAGGCCCTACTTGCCCCTCCTCCCAGGGTAGAAGTTGGGCCCAGCATGCTTAGTGGGCAGCCAGCAATTCCTGAGCCACCCTCTGGCTTCACCTACATAAATGGAAGTGTCATGTTTGACCCTCTTACCCCCCACCACCTGGATCCTGCAGGGCAGTTGAATTCATTACTTCTGGACAATTAGTCCAGGCAAAATAAACATGAGTTAGAGTTCTTCAAACTTTGTTCCTGGAGGCTTGGAGAGTTCTGCAGAGGTCTCTGGTGACTTCTGCAATCATTATTTCTTTGGCCATACAGTAACCCAACTCTTTCTTGAAGCATATATTATCTCAGTTCCCTCCTCAGTATTTAAATGAAGGGAATTTGACTCAAGAGGGTGAAAGATAACATAGGGGGAGGGAAGGAACAAAAGTAAAATCCACAAATAAAATCTTCCAGGCAGTAATAATAGAGTTTTAAAGTAAAAACTTCCTGGGAACCCGCTCTATTGTCTCTACAGGCTCCATATGCAAATATGCCATTATTGAAGTGATTAGACATAGTGACAATGAGTTGGAGAATTCAATTCCAGGTTCTACCTCACATTAAACCATATTAGTAGGGGAAGCCAGTTAACTTATTTATTTATTTATTTGTTTTGTGGTAGACATACTTTTGTTACAGGAAATTTAGGGCAGATAAGTTGAACTTGGTCCCTTTGTCTGTCAAGAGAATAATTCAGGGGCTGGGAAGGTGACGCAGTGGCAGAGTACTTGCCTTGCATGCATGAGGTCCTCAATTCCATTTCTCAGCACCACATAAGCAGAAAAAGCCAGAAGTGGGGCTGAGGCTCAAGTAGTAGAGCGCTAGTCTACAGCTGAAGAGCTGAGGGTCAAGCGCCCAGGCCTAGAGTTCAGGTCCCACGACTGACAAAAAAGAAAAAAAAGAATAATTCAGGCAAGACTTGAACTTAGTAAAAGTGATAGGAAAGTTTATAAGAAATATGGAAGCCAGGTGTTGAAGGCTAATGCCTCTAGTCCTAACTATTCAGGAAGCTGAGATCTTAAGACTGACATTAGAAATCAGCTGGGACAGAAGTCCGTGAGACTCTTATCGCCTATTAAACAGCAAAAAACCAGAAGTGGACATGTGGCTCAAGTGGTAGAGCTCCAGCCTTGAGCAAAAAAGCTAATGGAGACAGGTGGTTCATGTCTGTAATCCTAGCTACTCAGAAAGCTGAGATCTAAGGATTGCAGTTCAAAGCCAGTCCAGATAGGAAAGCCCATGGAACTTACTTACCTCGAGTTAAACACTCTGGCTCAAGTGGTAGAGTGCCAGGTTTGAGCAAAAAACTCAGTGACAGCACCTAGGCCCTGAGTTCAAGCCCCAAGGATCACACACACACACACACACACACACACACACACACACACACACACACACACACGTGCGCATGCACACACATACACCCCTCTAAGTGAATGCAAGGCCCTGAGTTCAATCTACACTACTGGAACATGAACACATGCAAATAAAAGAAAGGAAGGAAAAGAGAGAGAGGAAGGGAGGGAGGGAAGGAGGAAGGAAGGAAGGAAAAAAGGAAGGAAGGAAAGAAAAGGGATACATATGCCATAAGACAACAGTACTTGTATGTTAACATGGTTGCAGAGCTTGGCCTTGGGTTAAAGAAGGATTCTTTTGAAGATGGCTTTCTGATTAATGGATCTCCTTTCTGTTTTATATAAAACAGATGCAAAGATGTAGTGCCCTGTCCTTATTTCCTTATTCTTTTGTCCTTACTGCCCCTGACCCCCATTGTCAGGCAGGTTTTGATTTATCAGCGTATGCTGCCACCTGCAAGTTATTAGAGGCTCATCTCCCTCTAACTGGTATCACTTTTATAATAACAAGATTGGATCTAAACTATATTTTTTTTGTCTTTTTCATTTTGGGTACTGGGGATCAAACCCAGGACATTGCATTTGCTAGGCAAGTGATTTGCCAAGACTGGATTTAATGATGGAAATTGCATTGCTCATCTAGAAATGCATATTTAACCTTGCTTTGAAGGAGCAGTCATGGCTCTTGGAAATATCATAGTATAAATTTTTGGAAGAACACCATTGTTTGTGCATTTTATTGTTAGTTCTCAGAACCAATATTGTAAGATAGATATTGTTCTAGTTTATTAAAAAGAAACTGAAATACATAGAAATGTATCCAAGTACCCCATGGCAGTTTGTCTAATTGCTATTACTATGTATTAGTCACTTTGCTAGTGCAGTTATAAAGTTAATAATTGAAAACACACTGTAAAAGTAAGTCCAAATGCACTATAATTTGGGATATTTACTTCTCTGACTTTTAGGTGAAATAGAGGGTGTTTCTTTAAAAAATGCATAGAAGGCTATCCGGTCTTCATTATATACACATAAAATTAAATTTAGTTTGTAAAAAAATGTACAGCAATGTCAAACACTTGTAAAGCTCCACTTATGAAAGGACATCAGGGGCTGGGAAGGTGGCTCAGTGGTAGAGTGCTTGCCTTGCATGCATGAGGCCCTGGGTTCGATTCCTCAGCATCACATAGCAGGCAAAAAAAGTGGAAGTGGTACTGTGGCTCATGTAGTAGAGTGCTAGCCTTGCATGCATGAGGCCCTGGGTTTGATTCTTCAGCACCACAAAAGCAGGAAAAGCCAGAAGTGGTGCTTGTGGCTCAAGCAGTAGAGCACCAGCCTTGAACTGAAGAGCTGAGGGACAATGCCCAGGCCCAGGGTTCAGACCACGTGACCGACAAAAACAAAAACAAAAAAGACATCAACAGAGAATTTTGGGGCTGCAGGTATTAAAAACTCAGAATAATGGGCTGAGAAGGTGGCTCAGTGGTAGAGCGCTTGCCTTGCATGCCTGAGGCCCTGGGTTTGATTCCTCAGCACCACATAAGCAAAAAGAAAAAAAAAAAGCTGGAAGTGGCGCTGTGGCTCAAGTGGTAGAGCGCTAGCCTTGAGCTGAAGAGCTGAGGGATAGCGCGCAGGCCCAGAGTTCAGGCCCCACGACCGGACCCAAAAACAAAACAAAACAAAAACTCAGAATAAAGTATTTTTGCACCTCTTTTGATGATTTTATATTCCTGATACCACTCAGGACTAGTATTCTATACCCCTGATTATTTAGAGTGCCACCTAGTGTTAAGGGACGTGCAGTTATCTCTTGGTTCTCAAAAAGCCTTTTGAAAAAATTGGGAGGTGCTGAGCTTTGATGCCTTGTTCCTGCCTAGGGGATTCCCAGGAACTAACCTTTGTTTTCTTGCAACCCTGGGAGACAGTTTTAAATAATGTGATCCAACAGGTTTTCGCCTCATGGTATGCAGATTAATGTGATTTAACAAACATTACAACTTGGAAGAACTGATTCCAGACTTGGAATCAGAACTGTGTGCAGATTGTTTTTGGTTTTGTTTGATGTACAAAAAGGAAGAAGACAATGCAAGGGTCTGGTTTGGGGTTTAGGAAGAACTTGT